CAGGAATCCCCCCGGGTGGCAGCGTCTAGCTGTAGGAAGCCAAGATGAAGATGTGGTTTTTCTCAGCAGGCCCCAGAGAGGGGCTGGCCAGAGACGAGCTTCCCTTGGGGCTGGAGGATTAGCGGCCCTGAAAATGGAGCTGAGGATACCAGTTATCTCCATGTGGGGGTCTGGCTAGACTGGGTATCTCTGCCCCTTCCAGTCACCAGGCTCTCTTCATACCAGAGACCCTCTCCTGAGTCATCTCCCCTCTACGCCCCCCACCCCTCTCTGCTTGGGCTCGAGGTGGGACACCCAGGAACGAAGGCTCACTCCATGCCCCACAGCGTGAGAAGCACAGGCTCAGCCAGCAAGGAGCACTCCAGTGCTAGAGACAGAGGCCAGGGCCCTGGCCTGGGGAAACATGGGGAGGGAGGAAGGAATGGGGGAGCCCTTGGGGTTCAGTGCCTGGGAACCACGCTGGGCCTCAGTTTGGCTCCTGAGTATCTCCATCGCAGGCTGGTACCTTGCGTGGCTGCGTGGGTGACCGTAGTGCAGTGCACTTCCATCGTCTCCCCGTCAGCACTCAGCTGGAAGACCTCGCTGTGCTGGCTGCAGTTCCCTGTGATCACCCGCGTCTCCATAACTGCAAGAGACCGGGTGGTGAGGGGAGAGGTTGGGAAATGACAGAGTCCATCATTGTGAAGCCACTTCCCTGAGAATCCGTCCTTCCTGGGCCGGATCCACCCCACGCCCACTCCACTTGGATGTGGAGGGTTCATGGCTATTCTACAATGTGGGGGGAGTTGGGAACTTTTCCCTCCAAAGTTCCATTGATCAATCCTCTGTATCTCCTCCCCCCACTTCCCTCGTGTCTACTGGGGGCTGCTGCCTTCCCAGCAGGGGGAGTCGTGGGTGTGAGGGGAGGTGCCTGACTCGGCATGGCAGCCCCTAGCGGTGGGATGCCAAATCATAGAATCTTAAGGTTAGAAGAGACCTCAGGAGGCCATAAAATTCAACCCTCTGCCCAAAGCAGGACCAATTCCAACTAAATTATCCCGGCCAGGGCTGTGTCAAGCCGAGACTTAAAAACCTCTAGGAATGGCAATTCCACTGCCTCCCTAGGGAACCCAGCCCAGGGCTTCCCACCCTCCTAGGGAAACAGTTTTTCCTAATATCCAACCTAGATCTCCCCCACTGCAACTTGAGCCCATTGCTCCTCGTTCTGCCATCTGTCACCCCTGACAACAGCCTCTCTCCATCCTCTTTGGAACCCCCCTTCAAGTGGCTGAAGGCTGCTATCAAATCCTCCCTCACTTTGCTCTTCTGTAGACTAAATAAGCCTAAATCTCTCAGCCTCTCCACATAAGTCATGTGATTTAGCCCCCTCATCATTTTTGTTGCTTTCAACATCCTTTCTGTAATGGGGGAAGGTATCCTGAATTGGACACAATATTCCAGATGCGGTCTCTCCAGTGCCAAATAAAGGGGAATAATCATTTCCCTTGATCTGCTGGCAGTGCTCCTCCTAATGCACCCCAATATGCTGTTAGCCTTCTTGGCTATAAGGGCGCAGTGCTGACTCGTATCCAGATTCTCATCCACTGGAATCCCCAGTCGATCCCCAGCCTGTAGCTATGCTTGGGATTCTTCCATCCCAACTGCAGGACTCTGCACTTCTCCTTGTTGAATCTCATGAGATTTGTTTTGGCCCAATCCTCCAATTTGATCAGGTCACTCTGGACCCTGTCCCAATCCTCCAGCGTCTCTACCTCTCCCCCTAGCTTAGAGTTGTTGCGAACTTGCTGAAGGTGCAATCCATCCCCTCATCCAGGTCATTAATAAACACCTTCTCTCTCTCCTGGATGCATAGATGGGGCCAGGTTCTCTGTCCTGGCCAGGGGCCATTCTCTTCTGGGTCTGTACTGAACACAGGCGCCCACCCACAAAGCCACATCGGTTCCTACCTTCCCGGGGATTTGGGATACTGGGTATATCCCCGTAGCTCACAGCAACCAACAGGTGGCGCTGAGAGCCACACGTCCCCTCTCACCTATAGACTCTGTGCTCATGTTCTGTGTCGTCTGCCCCGGAGACCGGAGCGCAGCGGCCAGCGCGACCAGTTCCACGCTCTGCAGCAGGACGGTCACTGCCGACGCCACCTGCCCCTCACCAATGCTGGACCCGAGGGAGATGCGGTTCAGAAGGGAGTTGAAAGAGCGAGTGGTTTCCTGCAGAAAGGAAAGAAAAGGACTTGGGAGTGAGGAGTGCGAGGATTCAGGTACCATGTCCCGTGGGCTCCCAGGGACATTGGATGTTATAGCCTGTCCCAGCTTAGGGGCTGCAGAGCTCTCAGAGGGGGAGCCCCTCTTCTTCAGCCCCACTCCCCCACCCTCCATGCCCGGGCACAATATTGGCACAAGCCCCCTGCTGCCTGGGTCATCCCAACCCTGCACCCTACAGCTGCTCAGAAATTGACAGCAGAGCGAGAGTGGAGCCCAGATCCTTTACACTGCACCCTGCAGCCGCTCAGAAATTGACTGCAGAGCGAGAATAGGGCCCAGATCCTGGTGCCTGAAAACCCACTGACTGATGGGCTGAAGGGGAATCCCCACTGTCAGTTAGCAGTATAGCACCTCTGATGCACAACAGCAGCTCTGAACACTAGAGGGTATATGTGGGTGGATAAACAAATGTTCACTCATGCCACAAGAGAGCATGTACGCACAAACGTACATACACACCACTAGAGGGCATGTGCTTGTCCCCTCCCACTCCTACCTCCTAGCAGTAACGGGCACAGATCTATTCTGAAGAGTGTCTCAGTGTCTCTCTCACCCCAGGAAACCCCTAAACCGGCCCAGCAGCACACAGGACTCTGGGGCGCACACAGGGGCATTAGCCGGCAGAGCGCAGCCAAGGGGCGGAGTCTCTCACCTCCAGGGATAATGTCACATTTCCCTCTCCACACGCAGACATCAAAATCCTTAAGGTCGAATTGAGGAAAGAGCAGAATCCGCTGCTGCTGCCGCGCAGCTCTCCCTGCGGAGAGACCCAGGCAGAGGGTGAGTTCTGTGCTGGAGGGGACCCACACCGCAGTTTGGCTCATGCAGGGGCCTGAGTCTGTCACCCCTGTTGTGTGACTAAAGCTTTGCTCTCAGACTCGCCCAGCACATGTGCCATGGTGCTGTTCCCACAGCCAGAGGCTGACGCGGAGAAAGGGACAGTGTCTAGGAGCAGCTGGGATACATCAGGGCTCAGCACTGCAGAAAGCAGCCAGAGAGCGACACCCTGGCACTTGCCTTGTGCAGATGACGTAGCGCTCCCGGGGGAGAGGAAAGAGGAAGTGAATGAAGATTTAGACACACATGGAGGTGAGTATGTGAAAGAAAAGGCATGAAAATCGGCAGAAGAAATCAGAGTACATGCTCTGCGGATTCAGTGCTCTCCTGCAGGAAGACATCAGGACTGTACATTTGAGGTCCCATTACTAGCAAAGCTATTGAAGTTTCAGAATTTGTAAGCACCTAGAAGATAAGGTGATAAGTGGAGGTTACTCACCTTTGACAGTAACTGATGTTCTTCAAGATGAGCATCCTTGGGAGTGCGCCACAGGAGTTGTTGGTGCAACCCAGCACCACAGACCAGATCCTTCATAGCATCTGTGCATGGCATGTGAGGTGCGCGGGTGATGCTCAGCACGACTGTGCATGTGTGGCCAGCCTCCCCTCAGTTCCTTCCCTATCCCGAACCTGGCTTTATAGAGAAAGTAGGTCCAAAGTAGAGGGGAGGAAGGGAGGGTAGTGGAGCACCTCCAGGGACATTCATCTTGAAGAATGTCAGTTACTGCCAAAGGTGAGTAACCTCCTCTTCTTCTTCAAGAGACATCCCTGGGGGTGCTCCACAGGAGGTGACTGCAAAGCAATATGTCCTATGGAGGTAGGAATTTCGGATCAAGCAGGTGAGACATTGTCACCCTGCTGGGGTGAAGATGCCATCGGATGGTGTGAAATGTTTAGCAAAGGTTTGGTCTGATGTCCATGTAGCAGCAGCACATGTGTCTTTGACAGGGGCCTTGCGCAGGTAAGCGACCGATATGACTACTGCCCTGGTGGAATGGGCTGTCTTGAAGTAGATGGTGGTGGTAAGTGATTTAGGTGATAATCCATTCTGACGCAGTCTGAGATCCAGTGGGACAGTCTTTGGGATGCTATCTGGTGTCTCTCTGCTTTCTGAGATGGAAACCAAGAGTTTAGGGGACACCCTGAAGAGCCTTGTTCTACAGAGGTAGAAGAAAAGTGACCGACATACATCAGGGGCATGCATTAAGTGCTTCGAAGGCATGAGGTTTGGGAAAGAATGCAGGTAAGTGAATAGTTTGATTGATGTGGAATGGGGAGCGTGCCTTGGGTAGATATTTGGGATGGGTCCGTAGAGAGATCTTATCCTTAAAGAAGGTAGTGTATGGCAGATCTGCCATTAAGGCAGCCATCTCTCCTACTTGACAGGCTGATCTTATTGCCACAAGAAATGCTGTTTTTAGGGATAGGTGAATAGGTGAGCATGTGGCTATAGATTCAAATGGAGGTGTTGTGAGTGTGTTTAGCACCAAGTGTCGGTTCCACAGTGTCCGCGGGGTACCTATGTCAGGATATAACACTTGTAGGCCTTTTAGGAAGCATTTGGTCATGGGATGTGCAAAGACTATGGTGTCATCAATACTCATATGGAATGCTGCGATGGCAACTAGAGTATCTTAATTGAGTTGATGGAGAGATGGGATTGTTTAAGGTGCAGTAAGTAGCCCAGTATTGCAGGTAGTGGGGCTGTCTCTGGAGTCATGTTGCGGGGAGTAACCCAGTGAACAAAATGGGATAATTTGTCCCTATATGTCTTGTGCGTTGAAGAGGCTCTGCTGTGGAGGGGCACATTTTGTACCTGGGCTGAGCACTGTAGCTCTATCCCTGAGAATCATCCAGGTACCAAGCTTTCAGGTGCAGTGTATGAAACTGTGGGTGTAGAACTTGGGTTCCCAGTTGGAAAAGGATCCTCAGGTTCCGTGGGAGAGTGCTTGGGCAACATAAGGCCATTCTGTTCAGGAATGGAAACCACAGTTGCTAAGGCCAGCAAGGGGCTATGAGGATGATCCTTGCTCTGTCCCTCCACATGTTGATAATTGTTCTGTTGAGGAGGGGAATTGCAGGATGCACATAGAGTAGGTGATGATCCCACTGGAGAATGAGGGCATCTCCCAGTGAGTCTTTTCCCATGTCCACCCTGGAACAATGAAGGCGGCACTTTTTGTTTGCTCTGGTGGCAAAGAGGTCTATCTGGGGATATCCTCATTGTTGCAAGGACTAAATAATTGTTCTGCCATTTGTGGTCCCATGGTAGGGCTCTGCTTAGCACATTGGCGGTGGTGTTTAGGGCACCGGGGAGGTGGCATGTGCTTATGGAGATGGGGTGGGTAAGACACCAGTTCCACAGGGTGTTAGCTTCCGTGCATAAGGCATGGATGGGATCCTGGCCCACCTTGTTTGTTTATATAAAACATGCAGGCAGTGTTGTTGGTATATATTCTGACATGGCTTCCAGAGATATGAGGTAGGAAGTATTGACATGTGAGCTGTAGGACATGGATGTGTAAGGTCCTCTCTGTTGGAGTCCATAGGCTCTGGGTTGTGGAATCTTTCATGTGGGGGGTGGATTCCCTGGTTGCACTACATTTCCTATGATGCACTGCAGCTTGGGGGCAGGAGGTAGAGCATTATGGGAGGCCCAGGCCATAAGGACTCATGGGAGATGTAGTCTGACCAGGGACCCTGGCTTGTCAACTAAAAGGGGGAAACCAGGCACCTGAACTCCGGCTCCCAGAAGGCAGTGCACCAGCATCGCATGATAAGCCAATCTGATCGCCTACTATATTTGCTTTTCTTACTGCGCATCGGCATGGTTTCTTCCTGTGCCTTTAATAAGGCTTCTTTAAAATACTGCTAGCTCTCCTGGACTCCTTTCCCCTTCATGTTAGCATCCCAGGAAATCCTGCCCATCAGTTCTCTGAGGGAATCAAAGTCTGCTTTTCTGAAGTGCAGGGTGTGTATTTTGTTACTCTCCTTTCCCTCTTTTGTCAGTTGTGTCAAGCCAACAAGATAGCCTTCTTTGATAGAATAACAAGCCTTGTGGATGGGGGAAGCAATAGATATGGTGTACCTTGACTTAAGTAAGGCTTTTGATACTGTCTTGTGTGACCTTCTCATAAACAAACTAGGGAAATTAAACTTAGATGGAGCTGCTATAAAGTGGGTGCATAACTGGTTGGATAACCATAGCTATCAGTGGTTCACAGTAAAGTGGAGGGGAATATTGAGTGAGATCCCGTAGAGATCAGTTCTGGGACTGGTTCTATTCAATGTCTTTATTGATGATATATATAATGCATAGAAAGCAGAGGCATAGCGAAGCTGTTACATGCCCATGGGCAAAGGCAAAATTTGCATCCCCCCCATGGGGCAGGGCCCTGAACCTTGAGCACAGCTGAGCCCAACCCTGGGAGAAGGGGGGAGAGCTTGTACCATGTCTTCTCCCACCCCCTCCAGTTTGGGGCTGGGCCCCTGCATGCACTAACCCGCCAACAGAGATGGAGAAGGTTGGGCTGAGGGCAGAGAGACGGGGAGGAAGCTCCAGCAAGTGGCACAGGGTGGAGAAGGAGGAGCAGGCAAGCTGAGGGATGACAAGAGGAACAGAGAGGGATTAAATTGGTGGCCCCCTAGCATGGCATTCAGGGGCAACTGCCCCCCCTGCTGCCCCTCGCCACACCACTGTAAATAATTCACCTCTTAGGATATTTATCATTTCCTGTATTACTTATTTTACTAACTACAGACACATATAAATTACAGTTTTTGTGGTTTACATTCTGATAAATAATTTTTTCTTTAATTTGTTCATCTCCCATTCTCATTGGGTGCGTCTAGACTGGCAAGAGCGCAAAAACTTGCCAGCTGTCTACACTGGCCGCTTGAATTTGCGCAAGAGCACTGACGTTCTAATTTAAGAATTCAGTGCTTCTTGCGCAAATACTTTGACGCTCCCGCTCAGGAAGGGGAAGTTACTCACCTGGTGTAGTAACGATCGTTCTTCAAGATGTGTCCCCGTGGGTGCTCCACTCTAGGTGTTGGGCTCATCCCGGCGCTGCTTATCAGAGGCTTTTCATAGCTGTAGTCGGCCGGACCGCACATGCGCGGCAGGTTCCGCGCACCATTTCTCCAGTCACGCAGTCCAGCCCCTTCGCCAGTTCCTGTCACCGTCCAGAATCTGTAACAAGATAAGGAGACAGACCCGGAGCGGGGAGGAGGGCGGGACGTGGAGCACCCACGGGGACACATCTTGAAGAACGATCGTTACTACACCAGGTGAGTAACTTCCCCTTCTTCTTCGAGTGGTCCCCGTGGGTGCTCCACTCTAGGTGACTACAAAGCAGTAGTCAAGGTGCGCACCGGGTCAATGATCTTGTGCAGAGGCTAGAACTGCAAACACTACTGCTGCGTCCGGGGCCCAGCGCCGCACTATAGCATAATGATGAACAAAAGAAGTGCTTCTTTAAATGTCGCTGAGAGGGACGCCTCGGGCAAAGGCAGTGGAGGTGGCCACTGCTCTAGTGGAATGAGCAATAGGTTGAGAAATGAGAGGCCTTCGTTTGAGTGAATGGTATGTCGAGATGCAATCGGTAATCAGTCTAGCTATACGTTGACTCGAAAGAGGATTGCCTTTGGAACGTTGTGCTATGGATACAAGCAGCCTGTCCATACGTCTCCATGAACGGGTTCTTTCTATGTAAAAGGCGAGAGCTCATCGCACGTCGAGCGTGTGAAGCAAGGCCTCTGATGGAGAAGAATGAGGCTTGGGATAAAAGGCAGTTAAAACTATAGGCTCATTGATATGAAAAGAGGTATTGACCTTGGGGATGAACGCTGGATGCTGGCGCAATATCACCGTGTCCTTTGAAAAGGATGTGTAAGAAGGACTTGCCATTAATGCTCCTA